ACCACACAAACAAACAAACAAGTACACACACATGCCTCCCCCATCCCATTTCCCATTGCAGATCAACAAAAGACGAAAATGCAAAGCAACTCACACATTCCTTTTGTAATATGCAGGTGTGAAAGGTTCCTCCCGAGTGTCAGCCTGTCAGACTTATATGACAGGTGGAGGAAAGAGAGAGAGTGTGTGTATGTATGTGTGTATGTGTGTGTGTGTGTGTGTGTGTAGGGGGGGGGGGGCGTGTGTGCTTGCGTGCGTGTGTGTGAGCGAGCGAGTGAGTGAGTGTGTGAATGTGAGTAAGTGAGCGAGTAAGTGATTGAATGAGTAAGTGAATGAGTGAGTGAGTTAGTAAGTGAGTGAGTGAATTAATGAGTGAGTGAGTTAGTGAGTGAGTGAGTGAGTGAATGAGTGAGTGAGTGAATGAGTGAGTGAGTGAATGAGTGAGTTAGTGAGCGAGTGAATGAGTGAGTGAGTTAGTGAGTGAGTGAGTGAGTGAGTGAGTGAGTGAGTGAGTGAATGAGTGAGTGAATGAGTGAGTGAGTGAATGAGTGAGTGAGTAAGTGAGTGAGTAAGTGAGTGAAAGAGTGAGTGAGTGCATGAATGTGTGCGTGAGTGAGTGAATGAGTGAGTAAGTAAGTGATTGAATGAGTGAGTGAGTGAGTGAGTAAGCAAGTGAGTGAATGAGTGAGTGAATGAGTGAGTGATGAGTGAGAGAGTGAGTGAGTAAGTGAGTACATGAATGTGTGAGTAAGTGAGTGAGTAAGTGAGTGAGTGTGATATGTGTATATGGGTACGTCTACCGATTTCTTCTACAATATCACCATTGAAACACTAAAATCCCATTAAAGAAAATAAGTCAAAATTAAATAAAGAAATATATAATCTTACAAAGACTAAGATAGACTTGTGAAAAACCTGATAAAATAGGGAGAGGAAATGGAAGAAAAAAAAGAGCAAAGGAGGATATAGATAACAGAGAAAATGAAGGAAAAAAACAAGATAAGAGAAAAAAAATAGAGAAAATCTGAGATGAAAGATAGAAAGAAAAAAATAATAATGAAAAAAAAAAAATCTGGTTTCAATACTTACTTTTTGGAGGCACTAACGGTGTAAGGCAACCTATAAAGAAAAAAATAAGAAATTAAAAAGTGAATTGATAGAAATATGGATCAACTTACATTTTTCTTTCAGTTACATTTGAGAGGCTACCGAAGCTCAGCTGAAAGCAAGACATTCAAATACATTTTATTTGTATTTCAAACAAATTGCTATTACAAGCCTGTCAACTATCTGATAAGCCATCACTGGTAACTGTGTACACCCACCAAACCTCAACAAAAAATAGTACAGTTACCCATTAAAACAAAGAACATAATTAAGCAATGTCTGCAATGGAAAATAAAATATAACTTTTTCATCATACTCTACAACTGATCAAACTGCAACTATTCCTCAATCAGGTTGCAAAATAACCAAACAAACTACCAAGATTTAAGAATTTCATGCAACAACATCAAAGAATGGGTTCATGATCTCTTCCAATTCAACATCTTTACAAGAAAAGAATATAAAGGAACAAGTAAAAGCTTAACGTTAATTTTTACAGTTAGGTCGCGAGCATAAATGGAGACAGTGTGTAAGCAAGGAAGATCAGTCAGATGTCATGAGCGTGATATTCTGAAGGGTTTGAAATCTCATGATCAAAACTGGGCAGGGTCTTTTCATTTTTTTATCATTTCTTTATAATTCTACATAAAAAAACTTGTCTTGGTTTTTCATTTTTACTTTTATATTTTTTTTAAATCTCCAGTTATATATGATTTTGTCCCATATTTTCTTTCAAACCAGAAAAAAAAACAGACATCTTCTAAACTTACATGTCAAATAAAAGGTACTAGGCTCAAGAATTACTTCTAATATTTTCTGCTTAACAAAACACACACAAAAAATACATTAAGTGTATATCAAAACCTAAAAAAGGCATATTTTTTTAAGCATGTATCTGATGTATTGAGAACAAATTCATAAATCTGGAACCAGTACTATCCAGCATATTTCTCCAGCCACGTCCTCTATATCTTCCTATCCTATCCTCCCTCACCTTCTTCCTCCAGGCTCCATTAATGTTTTCTACTTTTATCTTGTTGTAAGTGAAATAAAAGCAATTCTGAGTCTATACATTTGGAACTGTTTGCCAAGCTTGTTGCATCACTACTCAACCTCCTATGCTCTCCCCTACTCCCATTTGGGTTACATCAAAAGTGTCAGTCTTGCCTCCTTGAGAAACTTAGGACTATTTGTCTTTTTACCAATTATGCATAAAAAAATATTTATTTCATTGCTTTATTTGTGTTTCATTTATATGCAAAAACCTTTCTTGTAATCTATGCTGGCAACTATTTTTAACTTTGGCACTCCACTGCAATTTTCATAGTCTACTGCGTGGCATGCATTTGACATCCAAGAGTGAAATATACGTTTTCTGGGGTGTAAATTAAAGCTCTTAATATCAAAGACAAAATTGGCCTTGGTGAAACTTTTAATAATAGGAATTTTGTTTCTAAGGAGTTAACCACAAATTAGTTCAGTTTTCAAAAAGCAACTCTATTACCACCATGACAACTGTAATAGCTGCTACTGTACTGGCACAAACATTCTTTACTAAGAAAAAAAGAAAAAAAGAAAAAGAAATGCTACTCTTCAAAGGAAAATAAAAGTTTATAATTACAGACAAAACTTTACAAAATATTAACAAAAAAATAACTAGCTAAAGTTTCTTGTTACACTGCTAAAGACTTAACAATGATGATGTCTTTCCCAGATGTGCTTTGACAGGGCTGGGTAGGAGAGCCTTACAACTTGGAAAGAAGCCAAAGTCAAGTGTTGAAAATAAATAGAAATAAGCCTTGAAAATTGAAAAAAACATAACTCATTGGATTTTTCCACTAAATGCCCTGGTTGTTCTCCCTAAGATCTACAACATAGACTGAATTTCCTTTTCTATCATTAACATATGGTACAATTTTTAGAGACAACTACTTAAGCTTGCAAGACAGATTTTTTTTACCCTCATTGTAAGGGCTATTCTAATACAAATACACCTGAAACTTGATGTTGTTCATCACAGTAGGCCACAAGACTGACACATTAGTAATGCACTGTCAAGCACCAGTACTTGATCCTCCAACAAAAAGCCTAAAAAATTCTGGTCTGCAGACCTTTCACTGTTCATTAATTGTCAATAAATTCCTAACAAGGCTTCATCTTGCCGTAGAATACTTGGAGGTGTGTTGGCTTTTGCTAGAGCAAAAACAGACATAGAGGCTATGCTAGTCAGCACAATGACAGTGACCAAGTCAGTTTCTATTTTCTAAAAAAAATACTCAACTTATTCACAATTCTCACATTAGTATCTCTACTAACTCTTTAGTTATCTGTGCACATTACCTTGCAGTTTTCACTTGCAATGAACTCTCAAAGAGTATGCCATCACCAGAAATAGCAACAGCATATACTCTGTCCACTAACTTGTACCTTCCTCCACTATTTCAAGGTCAATCTTAAATAATTTCATCTGCAAAGAATCTATTCTACTAACTTTAACTCTTGGATATGTGATGGTCTGGTAAATTTACATAATCAAAATCACATATAATCAAACATCTGCAGTTATATAATCCATATTTTGTTCCAAAAATAGAATGAGTGCAGCATCAACCATTAATTTCTTGAAAGTGACTAACCTATCACAGAATACGTGGTACATATTCTACCATCTCTAACTTCATTCTTTACCAAAAAAAAAAAAAATCTTAGCTCTTATCTTTCCTCATAATTAGATTCATATCGAAAAATCAGCTGAAGGTTTTCCCCAATTAACTTTCGCCACCCATTTTCCACCTTGACCTTCAGGACATAGGCTAATTAAACTCTTGTGTTATTTCCACACACCACACCATATAACACAAGTCACAGGCATATCAACAGTCCCTAAACAGACCCTAAGATCCCCATAATCCTTCAAATACGAAACAAACCTGAGGGCGTTGAGTGAGTGATAGAGCAGGCAGTAGTAGCAGGAACAGGGTAAACAAAGGCCAATATTTTACTATAATTATAATTTCTCTAAAAAGAGTTAGAAATTTGATATTTTCTTTACTATTTGATATGGTATATATTTTTTTCCTTGTGTATTATTTATTGTTTTGGTGTTTCTTTGATAATTGATGTAATTTTGGTGCCGTAGTAATTTTTAAAAGACTTCTTCGTACTTGATTTATTTATCGGAGAATTGACTCGTAGTATTCTCAAGAAAAGATCAATCATTGTATTTTTAGTCTGGTTGCATTTCTTAGTAACTCTTATTTTGTCGTAAGAACTATTGATATAATCTCTAGTTTCATGTTTGTGTATTTTTGCTTACGGCTTCTTTTTTCTTTTTTCTTTTTTTATTAGTTGAAGCTATTTGGATATACTTGTATGCTCAATCAAGCATTGATATACTGATATTATTACAATATATATGTTTTCTATTTCTACGGTGTTGATAGCATTCATGTAATTTTATTGGTGTTTTATATAAAAAACGTTCATAATTTGACATTGAAAATACTTGGAAAGCCATATATCACGCTCTCTTTGCGTACATTTCATTAATATTAAAGATTAGGCATATATTTTTACTCAGAAATCATAAGAGAAAGTTTTACGACATGTCACATTGTCGTATTAGTCTTTTGTTGTCTTGACCTTGAAAGCGAACAACTTCAGAAGTTCCTATAAAGCCCCATCACGGCCACGAACCGGAATTTATGAATGAAACAGCTGATTTTAACGTTCGAGTCCACTTCAAAAAATAATAGAATGTATAAAGAGCTCACAGATTTGAATAAGAACTATATACTTACATAATTTAGAATGAAAGGAAAACAATTCATATAAAATTCCGTAGTTAAAGTCATCAACACATATAATTTACACTCGAACGCGCGAAACAGCTGTTCTGTGTAGACGTCAACAAGTGTACTTCGCGTCTGACACTTCTAAGGATTAAGCCCCAAAGGAAACCCCAAAGATGCATTCGACAGGGAAATCCAGCATAGAGGAGCAGTTAGCCCAGTATAGACTCAGGAAGAAGAGGGAAGAGGGCTACAAAAGCGTAAAAAAGCGGTTCTGGGAGTTGTTATGTTCCGCGATGTCTGTCATGAGGAGTAACAGCACAGCCTCCGAGGCCGAGAGCAGTTCAGGTGGTGATGAGCAGCAACCCAGAGAGCATGCCGATGTGAAGGTGAATATTGTGGCTTTTAATGTGTCTATTTGTCATTTTATGAGTCTATCTATTTCTATATGTATATATTTATTAACCTGTTTGTCTATCTATCATTCTATGTGTCTATCTGTCTCTTTATCTATATATCCATCCATCTATACCTATGTGTATTTATGTCATTATCTATGCATTTTATCAGTCTATCTCTATCTATATTGGGAAGTTTATATAAATATTTATTGAAGAAGTTGTATTTGTCTTCTAAAACAATGTCTCTTCATTTGAGTGTAATGTGCATGGTAGGATAGGTTTGGGGTGGGATTTAAAGCTCTGATAGAAAGTGGCCTTCGCAGGACCATCTTCTTAAAAGAAATGAAAATGGATTGGGGTATATAAGAGAGGAAACTGCTTAGTGATTACAGATCATTTTTTATTTCTAGGTGAATAAATGTTCAAGCCAAATGAGCCTGAGGTGTTCAAGCTATTAGTTCTTAGACTCTGCTGTTACACTGAGCTCCCAAGTAATAAGAATCTTATGCTGTGTACAGAAATAGGTTCTTTTGTGGATATTGCTTCAGAAGTCACTAGGATTTTTTAGAGGATAGTTTTTGAATTGACTTTTGACTAATGACTGTTACATAGTTGTCTTCCATAGTTTTCAAATTATCTCTTGACTTCTGTTGATAAGAATTAATGTTGTAATAAAGATTATAATGAACTAAACTTCCAGTGATTTTTTGTTCTGTAGTGTATAAACTTTTATTGTGTGCATTCAGGTCATAACTTTATGGTTTCCTTGAAGCCATAATTTTATGGAAAGTGTTTATTTCTCCAGCATCAAGTGAACAGTTTATGAGACGATTTGGTTGTCAGTGTTCAGTTTTATATTTTTACTGATTTTTTCTAGTAAAAGCTCTGTTTTTCATTAGTGAATGGCCAATGTGAGCTTGTGTTGAAACAAGGCAAACTATTTGCCAACTATTTGCCATTTTCCTTTACTACAAATTGTATGAAGAGCCATTCATAGCCTTGAGCTATTTTGTTATAAGTTTAGATTTTTTAATAGGAGCTCGTTTTTTTTCAGATTATATTTATTTATAGAAAATCAGGGAAAATTATTAATGTCATATAGTGACATTAAAAACCCCAGACATGTTTTGGAATAATTCACTGATTCAGTATTTGGGTTTTTTCTTTTTTACCTCTAACTCATTTTTATTTTGAATTGTCAAAAGTTTGGGTATTATTCTATTACTGATTTTTTTTTTCTATTTAAAGTTTACAAGATTTGGTTATTGTTGCATTTGTAAGTTTTTTTCAGATTTTTAAATTATTTTTCTTAAATTACCGCTTTTTATTAACATCTTGGGATTTAGGATTTGTTATATTATTCACTTAGTGAATAATATAACAATATATATGCTTGTGTATAAGTTCAAATCATAAAGGCATGTTTATATATAGGGAGAGGTTTGGTACATGCAAGTGTATATATATAGGTATATTTATAAAAGTTCTCATAGAAAGGATTGAGGCAACAGAACACAGGATCCTTGTTTCTGGTAATCAAATAAATTTCAAGTTTATTCTTTAATGACTTATAGACAAGATAAACAAATACTTTATTTATTTTATTAGTATTATAGATTTGATTTTATTGTAGTCAGTATTATTATGACAATGAATAGTATTATTGATTATATCTTTATTACTGTTATATGCCTCTTTTGTGTTTTCTTTCTTTTTGAGTGTCAGTGTAGTTTAACTGTTCATTTGGTATTATTATATATTTGTGGTGTTATTTTAAGAGATCTAACCAGATCTATTTAATGGATGATCAGTAATCTTACAGTACAATTTTGCAACAGAAGTACAAAAATATGGAGATGTCTATAGCAGGGGTTCCCAGCCTGAGGACCACAGGGTACTTTCTGGGGTACCATGGAGTAATGTGAAAATTATATCAAATTAAACCAAATTTTATTTCACCTACAGTGCCTACATATGTTCATCTCACCTGTCAATAAATTGGAATCTTTCTAAGTGTTCTTGTCCTATAGCTACTGACACAATTCAGTATTTATAACTATTAATAACTGAATTTGAAAAGAGCCATGTAAATTAAATATTGGTCAGGGGCCACAGAATGAAAAAGGTTGGGAACCACTGGTCTAAAGGAGCTGGTAATATCGCGGACAATATTTTTGTTTCAGATTTTTGTTGTTTTCACAACTATTCAGATTTAAAGCTTTTTGCCTGTGCAGCAGTTTGTTTACAAAAACAGTCAGTCTTATACAATATGAAATTCAAGTAATATTTAGAAAAAAAAAGTCAGCTGGTCTGCTTAACAGACTTTAAATTTCATTATTATGTCTGCTCTGTATGTGTTAGAAAGATAACAAAGATTTTCACCACCGCAGGAACTTCGCAAGAGATTAACTGTCACAAGAGAGTCCTCCTCGGGCACCAGTGCAGACCACAGCGATGCAGACAGTGCAGGAAATACCTCACTCCCGTCCTTCAGCTCCTACACAAAGCTGGACTGGATTGCTTTGGGGCTGAAATGTGCCATGTGGTTGATTCTCTTCAAGATCTTCATCTTACTTGAATTTGGAGCTGTATTTTTCATCTTCAGTGCCTTTGCTTTTATATGGTAGGTTTTAGAAGGTTAAAGGTGAGAAGTATGGTCATTCTTGTTTTTATTTTTCTTAGTGTAAGACATGTGTAAGCAGGATGTTTGTTGAGTGGAAATTTAGTGTTTGAAGTAAACTATGAGAGTAAAGGTAACAGTTGTAAATGATTTATGTGCATGAAGTTTCAGCTCCAACCTGAACTTGTGAACTTGAGCAAATAAAAAGTTGCAGCATGATAGCTAAGAATTGAACACACAGGAAAGGATGTTAAGCATACCTTTTTACCAACCCAAAGATAAAGTATTTTATGGGCTTAGATTTTGTTTCCCCCCATTTTGCATATAATTTTCAAGTAGGTATGCTTAACGCTATTTGGAAAATTTAATGGCCAGTTGTCACAAAGCAAAATAAATGTATTAACCATCAAGGGGCACCATAGACAAGTGTAATAGCGAAAAGGGTAAAGAGGTAGGGGCTAGTTTACGATTAAATATGCTGCATGTCAGTAGTAATAACTTCCATTACTACTCTACAAGGTAAGGTAAAATTATTCTTATAAATAAAAATTAATATTGCATGGAAAATACTTAGATTTGTCAATATGCATAGGCTAGTCTATGTAAGAATGGTGACTTTTCTTTCTTAATCCTTGAGATATTTTATCTTTGCTAATTAAGCCCTTTTGAGTTCTGTTAATGATTCCCTCTCCACTACTCATAAGGTGTAGTTGAATGTAAATATACATTTATATTATTCTAACTATTGTCACAATATGTTCCAGGTACAACATGAGGTCTGAGCCCAAGAAAAAGGGTGAAATAAGTGCCTACTCTGTCTTTAACCCCAACTGTGAGACGATAGACGGAACTCTCTCTGCAGAACAGTTTGAGCGGGAAATTTTACATAAGATGTAGACAGAGGCACAGGGAAAAGCAAGATCCGTTCCAGGAAATTAATTTGAAATATTTTGTTGGAAGTGAAATATATTTATCCATCTTCACAATTATTTTGATTTTCATTTACTCTGTTTTAGGATAACTACTTAGTTAATATTTTAGCACTTTAGTTTATTAGAATAGGCAAGAAGGTTGTTATGAACTCCATTGCAGGAAATCCAAAACCAGGGTTCTGTTTGGAGTAAAATATTATCACTCAATTTCATGTCCTTGGATCATCACTATCGTCGTTCAGTAGATATAGGATTTCATCAGTAATTATGATTTTTATACTTTTCTTGCTGTGAGGTTTATTTCACCATGACTTTGCTTTTGTTGTCATGTTTTCTGTGAATCCACCTTGGAGTTATCATAAGGTAGTTATCTCGGTTGAAGTTTCAAAGTTTGTATCTTTTGGATTTATTGCATGGGTTTTGGAAAACAAGACTATATTATTTTCTGTTTTGGTTTATATATTTACTTTCAAACAAGTATCATGCCTTGTACATTGGATAATACCAAGCAGTACAGTCTCTACAGTGAAAATATGGAAATCATCATATAATATTGTTAGCTACTAGATATTGCTGAATGTGATATAACACATTTCTATTTTTAAACCAGTTTCATATATAAAAAACAAAAAACAGAACAAAAAGGTTAGTGATTGGAGTGACATGGATCTACAATTTAGAAATAAAGGATATGAAGAAAGCCAATAATCAAAACACTTTATTTTTCAAAAAAAATGTACACTGTACAATGGAATAAACCAGTACTGACTGAGTAAAGAGCCGAAGCTTTGAGCAAAAAACAACATGAACCATGAGATCCTGAAGGAAGGGCCAAAAAAGGAAATCCATTTGGCAAGTATAGTAACTACAAATTCCATTGGTGAACAAAACCTAATAAAACCAGGGAATCAACAATTACTCACACTATTGTCATACCATATAAAAAAAAAAAAAATAATGATAAAGGTTAACATGCAATCAATGGTAGTAAATTTCTCCAAAAAAAAAGAAAAGGCAATTGGCTAAACCAGATGACTATTTCACACTGACTTTCATTTTTATTTCATTATACAATGCTGGTGTGCAAAAAATTACAAAGGAACCCCATTCTGTAAACTGAAAGTCACTAGTCCAGATGGTGGAGAAAGCAGATAACAATAGTTCCTGATGACTTTTGTCTACTGAAATTATTCTTATTTTTGAATAAAAGCTCGAGTAGCTACAAACACAATTATTAATGAATACTTAATAATACTAATAATGCCTTCAAGCAAAATGTAACTACCGGTGATTTTCAGTCTACATGGGAGTCTCCCTCGGCAGATAATGGAACATGTTCAGCCAATAAAATTCAGAACCACAGGAATTTAAGAAAAATCTACTTCAACTTTATTACACAACCAGAACAGGTACTACCGATTCCATATAGTATGTTTAACAAGGTCATTTTCATCATGGGGGGGGGGGGGGGGAGGAAAAAAATAAAATAAAAAACAATATATCAGAGAAGATAGCCAAACTTGAAAGAGAAAAAGATAATTATTGATTCGCACAATAATGCCACAAGAAAACATGTCTAAAATAAGAACACAGGACCTGCTCTTTAGAATGTCTGAAAAGCCAATGGCAAGGAACCTATAATTCTCGTAATTTTTTTTTTCTTTTTTTTTTTATATTTTATTTTAGAGATATCACAGCCTTGGCCTAAAAGATTTTTCTCTAGAACTCCAAAGATTAGTTGAATACATACACATGTGATATTTAATTTACTTTGAACTGTACTGGATCCCTTGATGTAGTAAAGTTATTGCCAATATCATAAAAGAAATTGTGAGCTAATAAGGCACACAAACTAAATCCATATTTTATTTTTCACATATATAAATATACTGGTTTGCAAAAGAACCTTTAAAAAATGAAAAACATCTTTTATTAAGCAGTATTTTCAATTTTACAATATAAAAGCATAAATGAGAATGGAACATGACATGAAATAATTTAGAGACTGAAAACGTTTAAGCAAAGGATGAAATGAACGTGATGGCCGTAGGAGAAGCGTGATTTTGAATGACTGGACAATTGGCCATATTCAAGAAAAGTAGAGAGAAAAAAAAATATATACGTATTTACACAACTGGTCACTACAAGAGTTCAATGGATTTTGTCACTGTGCACAACAGTCTGGTCCACATGGTTTCTAGCAGAAATACAACTGGAATAAAATTTCTTTCTAAATGTTCACAACAGTTTCACTAGCTTACAACCATGTCTCACACTCCTGAGGTTTGGCATTTCCTCAAAAGAAAATTTGCCCTTTTGAAGGATTAAAACAAAAATAATAAGTATCTATATATGTATAATATATATTTATATATCACCTTGAGTTCTTTCTCACTTTTCCAAATGAAACAGTAACAAGTCATTTTCCACTTCACTTATATTTTTCAAATTCAACTATTAACCCTCGTCACAGTATCTCTGAGGTACGTACTGTATATACACACAATAAAAATTTTCAACACATCTTTTCTAAATGTGAGCACCAGTAAATCCACTGTTTGATCACCAAAGTATATTGCTGACTAATTATTTTCTCTCTCTCTCTCACAAAAACCAATTAACACTGCACTTAAAATATCTCGGGTGATGTCTGTCTAGAAATGCTGCGGGTCACTCTCACGCCTGGAGATGTCTGAGTCGCAATTGTCCGTAACTCTACACGCGCACTACTCAGGAGCTGCGCAACTTCTCTCGGCGAGACGTATAGACCTGTTCGTTGACGTCTGGTGTGTCCTTTATATGATTGAAATTGAAATCAGTAATGTTAAGTTTTGCATTAGATGCCTAAATCTATAGAGATCTATATTTATAAAACTAAAGCTACTGCAAAATAGAGTTTACTTTGAGTAAACTTTCTACATTATACTATATGGTATTCTACTTTCTACTTAAGTGTTACCTGATAATCATTTGCCTTGTAACAACACATACTGTGTAAGGCTACCAATCAGAAATCCTGAGCAGTTTAGCAACTAGGTGATATGATTCCCAAGCTAATGAAGGTAACATTTTGCATACCTTCACAAATGGGAACACTTTGAAAATTACTGAAACTGAACTCTTTGCAACTTGAATGTACATCAGTATTAGTTACAACATCCAAATAATAATATTCATTATTCATATTCTCATAAAACTTAACATAAACATCCTGCATGTAAAGTACAGTAGATATGTATATAGAGATTTCCTTATCCTAGGAGGTCTTGAATTATAATTAAAATTATCTAAATATTAAACCTTTGAGGTAAATATATATTTTTAAAGTAACTTCTGATATTACAGTATTATATACTGCAAAAACTTACTTATTGCTTGGCAATAAACACAATCAATATAGCTATAATTGGTAAATTTAAACAAAATAAAATATTGCCTTTCTTAACCCATTGGATTCAGGTGACATGACTCATGTGAAAAATTTGGATGCAGGCTGGAGTGACAGGACTGTCCTGTCATGAGAACTAAGCTAAGGTCTGGGGTGGCAGGACAGACACAGCACAAGGGATAAAGATCTGGGAGGAAGATTATACTCGGTGGGCATGGCATTTGGGAAGAGGGTCTTGAATCATTACCACAGGTAAACCTGGGTGGAATGTACCATCTATGAGCAATGACTGGAAGAAGGACACTATTTCTGTGCTCTGGATTCTATTCCTGCCTACTGTGACCTTCAGCCCTGAGTGTTTCATATACCTGAATCACACACAAATATTTATAATATGGAGTCTGCTTAAGAACATGTCTACTGCCTGTTACAGTAACAATTATAGATAGGAAAATGGCGAAAAAGCAAAAATTGCTTATATAGTCTAGATACAACACAGACCTATATGCCACACACCCAAGAGTCGCTCCTCAAGTAATGTCCAGATTCTGACTCATGAGGCCACAAGGCACCTGGATCCAACAGGTTAAAGCTTTATATATATAATATATATATGTATATAATGTCTAATCTTATAAATACATAGAAGTATGCATTTCTACTGGGGGAAAAAAAAAGAAGGAAAGAAATACAGACTAAAAACTACAATATAGGAGTAATGCTATTATAACTACTATAATGCCCATCTAAAAGATACCAAAGAAAAACATTTGTACATATTTAAAGCTATCTGTATCATTCAAACCTGTAAGACAAGACAGATACAAAGCACTTAAACATGCCCATGGAATACATATTGCACTACACACCTTTCAGTAATGTGTGCACACAACCACGCACACACACATACACACACACACACATTCATTAAGGCACAATGACGAGAGCAAGTGAGAGATTTGGGCTACTGTTTTTTCTAGTAACCTGTCCTTATGACAAAGATATTTATCTGGCACAATAGAATATCTTAGCACTAAACACTGCATTGAAAAACACAAGTCTCTTCCTTCTTATGAGAAATGCATACAAAATGCACTCTTGAACCTATTTATACAAATATTCTGTAATCAGTTTTATTTGCTCTAAGCCAATGATTTGACAGCCAGCCTGGACCTGGTGACAATGGCGTATGTTGACAGGACTGTGGACACGCAGCTCCATGCGTAGGAGACCCAACAGCGTTTCACGCCTGTCAGGGATGATCTTAAAATCAGCATTTCACATCCAAAGGAATTATCTTTGGAATATGAAATGCAGAGTTTAGTTGCCTTCATTTCCTTTCTTGATATTTTACTTTGAAATTAATCCTTCAAACAGCACTATCTTAAAAAGTCGCATCTGTGATATGATAAACAATGTAGGATTTTATTTGCTAAAAATTAACATCAGGGGATCATAAACACTTAACTTCATATATGACCTACTATTTGATAATCAAATGCTGTTTTTATAAATTTAAACTCTTCAAATAAGAAAGGAAAGAATGCAAAAAATTTGAATGTTCAATGCAATAAAAATGGCTGTGTGAAATGATTAACTAGAAAAACAAATCAATAACCAAAAAAACTCTCATGCTTTCATTTCCATTTTGAAATATTTGACAAAACAGCTTCTCTCCAACATACAGGACCTAAAAGAAAATGTTTGATCATCCCAAGTGTTCCGTGTAGAGTAGGAACAGGGCAGAAAAACAACATAACACAGAGAGCTCAATACTATTAAGCCATAATGGCATTGAATTATCCATGTCATGTTGAATTTACCAACAACCTGATCACTCTTTGTTTGTGTCAGTGTCAGATGCCTTAAATATAACCCATGGGTAAAACGGTAATACTAAATAGTAGATAATGGTAAGACAAACCAATGAACGAGGACTGATGCCCTGTTTACACCGTCCTTCAAGGATTACCACAAACAACTTACCATCTTTGCAAAAACAACCAAAACATCAATAATAGACAAACTTATCCACTAATAGGAGGAGAAAGGAAGAAAAAGTTGGAAAAAATAAAATACAAGAATAACACTGTCTACCAGCTCTTGTTCAAGAGGCGACACTTACCCTTTTTAACTGTATTATTATTTTGAGGAGCCATATAGGGGGGAGAGGGGGCCGTTGGAGAGTAATAGACGGTGGCATCGTTTGAGTCCTCATTCTCCGAGGAATCAAACATTTGTGGTGAGCCAACATCTGATAAGGAACTAGAATAACAATAGGTTTCGCAGTCTGAGGTGGATGACAGGCGCTCGGCACGTCTCCGCATCACAGCTTCCATCTCTGGGGTGAACTGTGTTGGGGGTTCTTCCCCTGTGGGGCTGCTTCTGTTGCTATAGCAGTTGCTGTAAAGGAAAAATTAATTAACCACTTTGACCAAAATGTAGCAAGATTGTAAGCTATGTGAAAGAATGGAAACTGAGGAAAAGAAGAGAGAAAAGAAGAAGAAAATAAGTCATTAAAGCAAGCATAATCAAACAAGCAAAAGCAAGATATGTGCAACTTTTAGACTTTATTTACCCTAATTTGATGATTAGACAAATACTACTGCAGCTCACCTATTGTGCCTATGACGTTTTTGGCAAACCGGTGGAGATGCCGACTTCTCTCTGATCTTGTTCATGATTTCAATCATCTGTGGGGTAGGATTGTCAAGGGATGTGTCCCGAACAATGCCTAGTCTCTTGGGTCTCTGCTTCATCTTGCGCTCGGCCATCTTTTGATTTTCCTTCTCGATCATCACGTCTTCAGGGTCTATGTAGGCAAACTCTGGCTGATTGGGCTTGCTCAGACTGATACCTATTAAGGAATTTCTGGGGCAGGTTCTTGTATTAACCCTGGGAGGAGAGAGACAAATTAGTACAGAAATAATCAGAAAGAAGTAACACGTAAGATATTAACTTTTTAACAATATTCACTCTCAGTCTGCAAATCCGATTACAAAAATTTACTTAAAAGAATCTAAGTTGGAGTTTTGCATACCTCTTATTCCTTGGCCTACACGGAGAGATATTAGATGCCCTCA